TGACGAATGTGATTAGCATTTCAATCCCTTGTCTCGGGGATAAATTAGGTGAAGGTTGCTGGCAAGTTGGATCAACATAGCGGCATACTGCCAAGTAATAGAACCAGGCGCATGTTCTCGGTGCTGCAATACTAAAGGACCTGGAGACATGAGTATTTGGGACGTCAATTTTAGGCCGCTTCGATCGTGCTGCGAATTCCATTGAGGCTGGTGCAGATCGTGTTACTGGTAATGGTGATGTTGATAATGGTGATAACGATGAAGAGACTACCGAGACGAATACAATGATAATAATGACTGTGAGGATGGAGATTTTGCAGGCGAAGTCAACTCAGCGGAAAGTTGACAGGCGAGACGAGTCAAAATGTGAAATGGTACTTTAAGTGAGACTCCAACTCTTTTAGGAACCACGTGAATTGTTTCACTGTGTTTATTCCCTATTCTCATCAAGAACTACACTTCAGTTCATCTCATCAATGAGCCTACCATTCATGTAACACAAATGGCGCCATTTTCAACCAGCGTGCCCGCATACAATGCCGACGATAAACGAATCAGATGTAGATACCAACGAAGAGGGTAGTCATCATAATCTAGTTGCCAAATTGGACGACGTTCACATTTTGAACATTTCTCCATCGGAGTATATGCAAACTTCACGATCTTTGCTATGGATTTTCGCATGGAAATATAGGATTCATTTTTAATATCCCCTCGAGCACGATGGCTGATTCCCTTGGTCTGCTGTGGTTTGATTCTACTTCGCCGTTAACTCCAAAGTCAATCTTCTTCTGTCAAGTCATTCGTCAGCTTTCACCGGAGCTGTACCTTATTCAACTGACAGCTCGAAGCCTAATCCGAGTCAGGAAGACTAACCGGTTAATTGTCACATAACCTAGAGTAGAAAAAGCTCTACTCCAACCAAAATGATTTTAGAGGTGTATTCGCTCTATTTTGCTCAAGATGACAAGGGGTATGGTAGTTTAATTTACTCTCAATAAAATGAGTAGACCGTGCGTTTCCTTAAACGAAATAGGGTGAATAGATCCCACATATATGATCTAATGGTAGACTAGAAGACCTGCTTACAAACAAAAAATGAGCTTTGACAGACATTTTATGATTCGGTAAGCTTCGTCTGAATGCAGCCCTTATTTGTGTACACGTCACTGCGTATATGCTGCTCTTACTAAGGCATAATTGATGGTTACGAGCAATTAGTAAAATTGTAACTTACTTTTTCGCCCGCCCACTTTTAATAAACTTTTCTTACTTATTCATTTGCAACGCTACGATTGCATAATTTCGGTTATCTCTTCTGGATAGTAGACTTGGCACATCCTACAAATATTATTTACACAAAATTTTTTGTCAAATTCAACGAATACTCCTCAGGTATCACTATTTTCGAGTATGCTGTATCCATTTGCTCTTAGAGCCTTTGAAGTGCAAAGCCAACATGAGAACATCAACTGTGTATAAGATGCTCTTGTTTTTATCGATGTCCCTTACAATAAAAGTAAAGAAACAGACCAATGCTTGAAAATGTTGGTAAATTAATGACAGTATAGAGAATTTTACGTATCATTTTCAGAAATTTTACCTTGAAATAAATCAGGAAACAGATTTTAGAAAGCCAAATAGTTAATATGAATTGGCCTGTCCACTTATTTACTCATTAGTAGATTGGTAACTGATCCAGAAGAAAGAAACGCATTCAAATTAGACATGACCTTTTCGGTCATTACTTAATGGCTCTAAAATAAAGCATCATTTTAAGCGAATACTCACCTTTACTTTGTGGTCACAGCCTTTTGCTGAAGGCATTGAACGCACCGTCGTTCTAATGGCCGTACACTTCAGTAAATTTAATCCCTGTTTAGCTATGCTCGAACCATTAGAGCTCTAATTGTCCGAGTCTACGTGTATGCATATGTGCGCTTGCGCACATGCCTGTCTGAGTTTGGTAAAATATTCCATTCTTCATATAGCTATAACTATTTCTTTTCTTTGGCTCTTTTCCCCAACTGTGGCAAA